CTAAAAACGTTAAGTCTCTATGCTACATTTCAACATACAAAGAACTGGAGAGGGCTAGGAGAGATGGCTCAGCTGGCAAAACCTCTTGCTGGTCAACTGTGAGGACCCAAGTTTGACTCCCCAGAACCCACTAAAACTGAATGCAGTGCCTCTGTTGTCCCAGTGCTCCTATAGAGAGATGAGCAGTGGAGACAGAACTCCCAGCTCAGCCTGTACAACTGAAACCAAAACACCCCACCTCAAACAAGGAGGAAGGTGAGGACTGACACCCAAGGGTGTCCTCTGACTGCCACGTGTGCACCACAGCACATATACCCACATTTATTCTCCCTCCTACAAATACACAGGTGTGGGGGAGGGAAAAATTAAAAACAAACAAACAAAAAGCTGACAGCTGGTTGTGGTGGTGTGTGCCTTTAATCTCAGCACTCGGGAGGCAGGCAGATGGATTTCTGTGAATTCAAAGCCAGCCTGGTCTATAGAGTGAGTTCCAGGACAGCCAGCGCTACATAATAGAGGCCCTGTTTGAAAACAAAACTGAGCATGGTGACACCCCAGTGCCTACTCTGGAGATGGAGCAGGACGATCACATACCCTGTGTTGAGTAGTGGGTTTGAAGCTAACCTGGACTACATGAGACACCATCAAAAATCAAAGACAACAAACAAAGTAACAACAACAGCAAAACAACCCTCTGACTAGGTCAGAGCACAGTCTCTTTCAGTAGAAAGGCAGTTTTTGAGCATGTGACCTTAGGCAAATCACATAATCTGGGCTGAACTCTTGATACTTGAGTAAAAGGAATCTGACCAGCCTGGCAGGGCTGCTGAAAGAGTATCTGCTGTACCGTTCTATAGATTGGGTAAAGAATCAATTAGAGCAGGCTGGAGAGGTGGCTCAGGGGTTAAAAGCAGGTGTGCTATTCCAGAGACCCCAAGTTCAGTTCCCAGCATCCATATCAGGTAGTCCATCACCAAGAAATCCAACATCCTATTCTGACCTGTGTGGATACCCATGTGCATACACAAAAATAAAAAGCTAAAAAAACATCAAAAACCCAACTTGTCTTTTTACAGTTAAGGAATCGAGAAGTAGGGAAGCCTGTTTTCTTCTCAAGGTTTTGGCTTGCACAGGGCCTTCTCAGCTAGTTCACACATGGCCTATTGTCTGGACTCCTGTGTCTGATTTTTTTTTTTTTTCTTCTTCTTCTTTCTTAGGACTCCCATCAGATCAGGTTAGGTCCTTCTCTTAGAAATCAGATCAGGTTAGGTCCTTCTCTTAGAAGACATCATTTTACCTTAATCATATCCTTCAAGGGTTATCTTGAAATGTGTTACCTGAGGTCCTGGGGAATGACATCAGCATTTCTATTTGTTAGGGACACAACTGAGTCAATGAAGACCAAAGACACAACACAGGCTTCTGGAAGGCTAGCACTTCCCCTTTGACATAATAGCTGCTCTTTGAGATCCTAATTGCAACTCCTGGCTCTCCTGCTTGCTTGTTACATGAATTTGGACAAGTACTTGACCTGTCCCATCATCTGTATTGTTCTGTTTCTTTGAGACAGGGTCTGTGGAGCCCAGGGTGGCTTCAAACTCAACAGAACTCTGGCATGTGCCTCCCAAGAGCTGAGATTACAGGTGTGTGACCTCAAGCTCTATCATCTGCAAAATGGCTGGAAGAATTTCTTCCTCAAAAAAAGTATGAAAAATGCTAAGTATGGGGAGTGCTTAACAGTATCCACAAGGGGTAAGGACAATGTGTTTGCTATTGGTTTTAAAACTTCTTCCTGCCAGGTGCTGGCCTTTAATCCTAGCACTTAGGAGGCAGAGGTAGATCTCAGTGATTTCAAGGCAAGTTTGGGTACAAACGGAGTTCCAGGACAGCCAGGGACATTACACGGACAAACTCTACTTCAAAAAGCAAAGAAACAAACAAAAACCAAACGAAACAAAAAACTTCTTCCCAGCAGTAATTATAAATCTTCATGTTTGCCTTGACAAACATACTGATAGTCTGGGAACTAAATAGACACTGAAAAAGAAACATGAAATTTCTTTTATTGTATAAATAGGTGTTTTGTCTGCATGTATGTCTGCACACCAGAAGAGGGCATCAGACCCCATCGGATTAGTTATAGCCAGTTGTAAGCTGCCCCTCATACCACCACGACCTCTGGAAGAGCATCAGCTAGTGCTCTTAACCACTGAGCCATCTCTCCAAACCCTGAAATTTCTTTATTTGTTTATTTGGGATGGAGAAATGGCTCAGCAGTTAAGAATAGTTGTTTATCTTCCAGACAATGCTAGTTCAAAACCCAGAAGCCATGTCAGGAAACTCACAAGCTTTGTGGGATCCAATGCCCTCTTCTAGTCCCTGCTGACACTGGCATACATGTTAATGCACACCACATGCATGTAGGTACCGACAGACATCAGATCCCCTGGAACTGGAGTTACAAGCTATCTCGAGCTGCTGGATGAGGGTGCTAGAGCACCAAGTGCTCCTAACCACTTAGTCATAACCTCCCCAGCTCCAAATCTGAGATGTCAAGAAACACTGGCTGAACAATGCAGCAGAGATGGCAAATTCAACAGCTCCAACAGTCTCATTTCAGCCACTACCATAAGCCATGTGAGTGACACCCACATAGCCATTCCATCTCCTTTGCAAACTGACCCATGCCTTTCCTTTTTCTTTAAACTACCTTATGACAGTTTCCCTGGTAACAAGCCACAGGCTTCCCATTCCAGAGAGCATTAGCTAGAAAATAGCAGGCCTGCTTGGCAAAGTCCTGTCAGTGGCTGCTTCACCAAGGCAGTTTCCTCAACTACACAATGCAGATTAATGCTCAGCCCCATATCTTCTAATAGGAAAGCAAATAGAGGACAGCAGGGAGTAGAAGTCACTTGGTAGGTGAAGAGGCCATCTCCAGCAGCCAGGACATACTTCAAGGGCACTTGGCCAGCTGTCTGTCTCATCCGCTACCCCAGACTGTCAGTGTGGCAGATGTACACAATGAGATTGATGTGACAATCAGTCTTCAAAGAGCTGTCCTGGCCCAGAGTGACCAAGCCCGAGGTGGTAGAGCAAAGAAGACACAGAATCCTGACATTCCTCAAATACCATGTTAACCAAAGACTTTACCAAACTAGAAAATATTGCTTTCAGATTCTCTCTTGCAGAGAACTCTTTCATGACTTTCAAACCCATTTGTCTCCCAGCACTTAGCATCAGAGGACTTCTAGACAGACAAGAAGAGAGTATATAGTGCCTGTCCTGCAGAGTTCAGTTCCAGGGTGCTCCCAGCACCAGGCACAGAAAGTAGGCCTTGGTGAGAGCAAAAGAAAAACAATCTCCTCATTTTATCTTGTTTAACTATTCGAAAACTTCCCTCAAAAGGGCCCAAACAAAACACACTATTCATTCCTGTACTTAAGACAAGAGAATCATGTTTTAGCTTTATTGACATTACAGTAGACAGGACGAACACATGCTCTATAAAATATACATTCTTATGTGAGAAAATATAATCAATACCATGAAACAGCCACTCTGAACAGCACGGCGTGTATCTCTTTAGAGGTGCCTTACACCAGGGCTGCTCAGCCCCATATCCTCTAATAGGAAAGCAAATAGAGGACAGCAGGGAGTAGAAGTCACTTGGTAGGTGAAGAGGCCATCTCCAGCAGCCAGGACATACTTCAAGGGCACTTGGCCATCTGAAGATCAGCTTCTCTTTGAAAACAGTTACAGTCGCTACAAGATCACTTCACATTCAACAGCAGGCAAGTTAAGCCGCTTGCTCCTCACCTTCACTCCACTGCTTGGTCATTACTGTAACTGCAAAGAAACAACATACGACCAGAGGGAGTGGATCCAAACCACAATTTAAAGCACACTGCTGTGACAGCGCTTGCCTGGGTTAGACTCCTAGGACACCATACATCAACCTCTCCTTCCCATCCCATCATCTCACAAAGCCTACAGGTGGTTCTTGGGTTATTAGATGCTCCAAGTGCAGTTCCTAATACATCCCTAATTCAGAAACTTGGTACTTCTGTCAATGAACTAATGTCCAAAAACGAACAAAAGAAAAAGAAAATCTTGGCTAAGTCCTGAACATTTAGACCATGTTCCAAACAAAAAGTTTAAAGCAGAAAGGGAAGTGTGAGCACACCTCCATATCCTCTTGGCCTCTGGACTGGCCAAGAACACCTAACAGAAAAACTCAGCCCAGCCATCTATGGTCCCATCGTTTTTATAACCACCCATTAGTCTGCAGCAAGACAACGTTTCAGCTGAGGTTGCAGCTCTGAGGTAGAGCACTTGCCTGGTATGCACGAGGCTACAGGTTCAATCCCCAGGACCACCAAAGGAAAAAAAAAAAAGGCCCAAAGAATATGTCCCACATAAAAAGAGAACAAACATGGGGTTTGAGCTCAGTGGGACATTCACAGAGCTGTAGGTTCAATGCCAGCCACACTTACCTGTTACTCCTTCCCCTAGTAGCACATCAGTGAGTATCCAATAATGAGAAAAAGCCATCCTCACACACTGGGGTAAAACATAATAAAACTGAACTGCACCGGGCATTGGTGGTGCACGCCTTTAATCCCAGCACTCGGGACGCAGAGTCAGGCAGATCTCTGTGAGTTTGAAGCCAGCCTGGTCTCCAGAGCGAGTGCCAGGATAGGCTCCAAAGCTACACAGAGAAACCCTGTCTCGAAAACCCAAAAAAAAAAAAAAAAAAAAAAAAACTGAAACTGAACTGCAGTATCAACTCCACTCCAGTTGGGCTCCATAGGCAAGAACAAATAGTAATCAAGTCAGACATACCTACAGTCCCCACATTGGGAGGGTGATGCAAGAGGCAAGAAATTGAAAGCTCAAGGCCAGTGGGGGCTAAAAAAATTAATAATATTTTCTAAAAATCAGAGTAAAGAGTTATAATACAACACAGGCTTAAATTTTTTGTTAATGTCAGCAGTGTTGGGTTTTTTTTTTTTTTTCAGAAAAACAATGCCACCACTTCATGTTTTTAGTTGTGAACACAAACCAGATTCCTTTGTTAACCAAAGTCCCAAATGGCTTAGTTTTAGAAAAAGAATTCTGAATTGCACTAAACCAGACCCAAAGATCAAAGGAAAAACTCTCAAGTTAATGCTAACATTGCAGATGTTATAGTAACCTTGCCCATTTTCTACTCCATCAAAGAACTCTCTTAGGCATGGCTAGCAATTAGTGTCTGCACATACCTCCCCCCAAAAAGGAGACCATTTTCATTACCAGAAAAGTATGATTATTAGACTAAGATGCATACTCTACACCTTCCTGGAGATGGCATCTGTCACTTCCTACAAGATGTAAACAAAGCCTTCTATCATGTCCTTCTCTTCATAGGATAGCTGACAGTGCTAAAACTGCTTGATGAAGACTAATGGTCCTTTATAAGCCCTCAGTGGGCACTGTACAGCCTACTAAGAGTTCAAGGAAAAGGCTACTTCCTATAGGTACTTGTAAAATCAGCCCAAGAGTGGCACAAACAAATTCAGAGAGCTTATGTGGTCCCACTGAAATGAAGTGGGAACTGGCTGGGGGATGGACTACTTCTCTCAGCATTTCAGTCTGCTTTGCTCTGCAATGTCCTTAACTAACTAAATCCTAGATGGACCCTGTCCAGCCTAGAGGAAGTGTTATGAGATGCCAATTCTATCACTATTGGACGGTAGAGACTGCTTGGTCAAACATGTTCAAGTTTTTTCAGGAATTCCTTTCTCTGGGGTAAGAATCTGCTGTTATTTAAAGACCAGAGGCAGAATCTTCTCATCTGTAAACGGGTTCCTAATCAGTTATTTGAGCAAGCCAGGGATATGTGGGAGGGCAGGTCCAACACTTCACCAACCTTCAGGAGACTAGACTGACACCACCAGCAGAAAGGCCACTGCTGGAGCTTGGAGATGATGTCCTGGATAAAGTATTTCTAGAGGAACTGGGTCAGGGTCTGCTTCCTATTCTGACAGATCACACTCAATGAGTGAGCACTACAGCCTGACCACAGGAGAAGCGGCATGGCCAGCACAAACAAGCTGCAGCATATCCCCATTCTAGACCCGCGCTGCAGCTCTGCTGCTCCAGAGGACAGAAGGCAACTTTTCAATCAGACAGCAGTCTTTGCTTACTAACACTGTTGAAAAGCAGAGTGCTTTCCCCTCCCCTGAGCATTTCTTAGGCCATTAGTCCTGTACTGGGAAAATAAATACAGCTCAAGTCAGAGCAAGCAGCATCACTCTTGATCTAGCTTAACAGTTCACAAAGGCAGCTCTTCAGTGAAGTGGCACAACCCTCTTTGGTTCCTGGAGGGAGCTGGAGAGTGGCCTAGGCAGCTGGTAAACAGCCTCTTTTCAGCAGTAAGAGTCAGACGCACAGCTAGCAAGAGCAGTGTCAGGAAGGGGGCCAGCTCTTAATTTCTTGTCAGACCACTATAAAACTGGAACACAGCCCAAAAGGAAGAAAGCATGTAGTCCAAAGGGGTAAGAGGACTATATTATTTTAAAGGTTCAAAGTGGAAATGAAGAAAACATGACAATTTAAATAGAAAAAAAAATTAAAAAGCTAACAGTGGTGCTACCTGAGGAAGAAAAATTTAGGATTAAAACAAGCATGGACAAAACGTCAGAAATTCATCTCAACTTTCTGACAAAAAGCTAAGAAACCAGGTTTAGAATTCTAGAAATATACAGTTACTTATGAATAGATACCTTTAAAAGTCGAGAGCCGTCTAGCAGGAAGCTGGTATTACACTCAAAGACAAAGACAGACTGAAAGTACAGACATTTCATTAGTGTTAACATTCTTTGTTTATAGAAAGCTTTTTGGCTTAAATAATAACTGGTATAAAGGACCACTCTAAATCTACAGAGTACAGGAACTTCCATGGGACCTACTCCCAAGAACACACTTCCCTTCTTCATTGCTACATTCATGAAGGAGATTAAAAACAAAGTAAACATAAAAAAGAACAATCTTTGGTTTCCTTGTCATCAAAGTACTTTGCTGAAGGAAGACCGTCCCCAAACAAGTCACTTTCTAGGCTCACAGGGCTGTGACAAGGCTGCTGGGCTCTGGAAGAACAAGACATTTATGCTAGAACAAGATTATCACCTGGCACTTATAAACAGATGGCAAGCGATTGGATGCATGGACCTTCAGGCATGAAGCAAGCAGCTAATTACACCAAGCTCGAGTTTGTGAGCACACAATCACTAAGTACCCTGCCTCTCCACATAAGCTTCATAACAATAGTCTTAGAACTTTAAACAGAGTTCATAGACCTCACTAAACTAAGTTATGCAAAATCTGTGATCTTGAGAAGTTGTTGTCCATACAGTAACTAGACAGACATTATACATAATTTGGGCATATCAAAAACATTTACATTGTAGCCAACACACAAGGTCAATGAGTAGAAAAATTATTTATAAATGCACATATATTTACAATTAATACCCCTGGTTAAAGGGACAAAACAAATATACAACACATACACACAAAACCCACAAGAATACAAAAGCCTTTGTTCTGGTACCAGTCAGCAAAACTTGGATTCTAGCTGAAGACCTTGAATATCAAAGCTCAGCCTCCACTCTGTACTCAACACCACAGGAGAATCCCAGTCAGACTTAGGAGAGCTCGGACGATATCTCTGCTCCTTGCCTGGAAGGCAAAGTAGAATGTCAAAGTAGTGATGCTTTCTATGAGCATTCTGGGGCAATCCAGCAGGCTAAGCAGCAATGACATTCTTTGTGACAGGCAGTGCACACATGGGCACATACTTGTGGGGCCACCTGCAAGGACATTTGACCATATCGTCTTCTGCCAGGGCTGTGTACTTTCAACCTGGTACACACTTCTGTGGTACATTTCTGTCAGCCACTACCTTTTCTTTGCTTGGTGTGGTCAGATATAATTTGAAGCAAAGAGTAATGCAAATGCTGACTTTGGGGGTTCTTCTCAACTCTGAGGTAGCAAATTAACTAACTTGAGTCTCTGCTCAGATTTCTTCCTGGGCCAGCTTCATGTGCCCTCACTACCATCTTGAATGTTCCGAGTCCTACTAAAATCAAAAGTGTGGTCATGTAACCTGTGGCAGGACACAGGTGAAGAGCAGTCTGGATCTCTCTCTGCCAGTCCCTCATGTTGCTGAAGCTGTGGTGACTCAAGGACAGGCTGCTGGGAAAAGGGAAGTAGGCCTACTTCTCTGTTCATGTTCCACAGAGGCCGCTGAAATATTTCTGAAAATGAAAAATAAGAACTATCATTAATGACAACAAGAATTTCAACATTAATTTCCTAAAGCCTGATACCCTATTTTAAAATGTGTATGGGTGTTTTGCCTGCATGTATGCCTATGTATCTATCACATGTGTGTCTGGTGCCCAAAGAGGCCAGAAAAGGGACTTAGATCTCCTGGAACTGAAGTTACAGATGGTTGTGAGCTGCTGTGCTGGTGCTCCTTATCTCTAAGCCCCAGATATCCTTTTAACCCAATCACCAAAAGAAGTAAAGATGCCCAGCATCCTTGATAAGGACACTGAAATCACAATGCCAACATTAAAAACAACAAGATAAAAACTGGAACCATGAACTACCAAACCTTTATATTCAACTGAACTAATAAGCTAGTTTCTGAAATCATGCTGCTGTTTTTCACCTGTTATTTTAGTAGCTTTTCTGCCTTGAGAATTGTGTTGGCTAGTTTCATGTCAACTTGACACAGGCTGAAATTATTGGAGGGGATCTCAATTAAGAAAATACCTCTGCCAGGTGGTGGTGGTGAATACATTTAATCCCAGAACTCCAGAGGCAGAAGCAGACAGATCTTTGTAAGTTCAATGCCAGCCTGGTCCAGTTTCAGGACAGCCAGAGCTACACACAGAAAAACTCTTTCTTGAAAAGCCAAAAAGAAAATAACACCATAAGATGGGACTATAGACAAGCCTGTAAGGCATTTTCTTAATTAGTGATTGATGGGGGAGGGTCCAGCCCATTTTAGGTGGTGCCATCCCTTAAGTGGTGGTCCTTGGTTTTATAAAAAAGCAGGCTGTGGGGCTGGAGAGATGGCTCAGTGGTTAAGAGCATTGGCTGATTTTCAGAGGACCCAGGATTCAATTCCCAGCACCCATATGGCAGCTCACAATTGTCTAACTCCAGTTCCAGGGGATCTGATACCTTCACATCAATGTACATAAAATAAAGTTAAATAGTTTTTTTTTTTTTTAAAAAAAAAAAAAAGCAGGCTAATGTGGGATATGTTGATCACACTCTGACACTCCCAAGATTACCCAATAAAGCTAAACCTTAAATCAGAGCCAGTAACTCACTAACTGGAATTGGCTATAGAGAAGGCAGCAATTTGGATAGAGAAGACGCACAGGAAGAAAAGGGTGGGAACTACAGTTTGAGTTCTCTTGGTTCTGGGATGAGAGAAGAGATGTGTCTCTTGTGGTGTCTCCATCAAAAAGCACCTTTGGCTAGTTGCTACTCAGCATCTCTGAGCTACCAGGTTTTCACCCCAGCCTTTGACTTCTGAGCCTTATTGATAAACAGAGGGATAGAGACCTAACCATGGCCACAGGACCGGAAGCCCCACCAGGCCACAGCCTGAGTGGCCAGTGGGGTGCTGACTAAGGGGCTGTGGGGCACCAGACAATAATTAAAATATCATTAGATTCATGAGCAGCTTCTAAGCCAACAGAAAAACATCAGGCTAAACAAGCCATGAGGAACAAGCCAGTGAGCAGCACCCCTCCAAGGCCTCTGCATCAGCTCCTGCCTCCAGGTTCCTGCCCTGCTTGAGTTCTTGCCCTCATTGCTTTGGATGATGAACTATTATATGTAATTATAAGCAAAATAAACCCTTTCTTCATCAAGTTGCTTTGGTCATGATGTTTTATCACAGCAATAGAAACCCTAAGACAAAAATAAAATACAAAAGTCTAGACACATGGAAAAGGAATATTGTAATGACAGTTCCATGACACATAGACAATAATCATTGGTTCAGTGGAGGTATCACTTCTTTAAATACATTTTAAATTTTTTATTTTATATGTGTGTCTGTGCACCACATATACCTGATGCCCATGGAAGTGAGGTGAAGGCATCAAATCTCCTGGAACTAGAGTTATAGGCAGTTGAGCCACCATATGGGTGCTGGGAACTGAACCTGGGTCTTCTTGAAGAGTGGTCAGTGCTGTTAACCAGTGAGCCATCTTTCTAGCACAGTGGTTCTCAACCTGTGAGTCCCACCTCTTTGTAGGTCGCATATCAGATAAATATCAGATATTTACATTTGACTCATAATAGTAGCAAAATTATATTATGAAGTAGCAAGAAAATAATTTTATGGCTGGGGGGTCACCACAACATGAGAAACTATTAAAGTGTCACTGCATTAGGAAGGTTGAGAACCACTGCTATAACCCCTCTTTAAAAACATTTTAAAAGCTGAGTGTGGGGCCTATGGTATGGCTCAGCTGGTAAAGCAGCTTGCCACATAAGCTAGGGACTTAAGTTCAAACCCCAGAACACACATAAAGGCAGAAGGAGAGAACTGACTCTACAAATTTGTCTTCTGACCTTGTTATGCACTCTGTGGCACATTCCCCCAACACATACAATAATAATAATAATAATATATAAAAGTTAAAAGCCAGGTATGGTAGTATACACCTACAATCCCAGCACTCAGGAGGCAGAGGCAGAGGAAAACCCTGTCTCAAAAAGCCAAAGATAAAAAAGTTTGAAAAATAACCATTCTCTCACAGCTTCTAGTATATAAAAATCAAACAATAAGAAACAAATAGTAAACCAAAGTAACTACAGTAAGTCAGATTATCTGTACTTTAGTTTAAAAAAATGTGCATTTCTGAGCCAAATGTGGTGATGCACACCTGCAGTCAAAGCACTGAAAAAAAATGGAGGTAGGATGATTGATAGACACACACACACACACACACACACACACACACACACACACATTCTCTCACCTACCTATCTACCTAACATTCTTGAAACAAACACCCACAAATGAAAGCAGGGCTATAAGCCAGGGAAGGAATTCTCAAGATTTAATATGCGTGTGGGGGCTGAGGAAATGGCTCAGTGGGTAAGAGGGCATGTTGTGAAAGCAAGAAGACCTGAGTTCAAATTCCCAGCACTCATAAAAAGCCAGGCAACGTCATGTATGACTGTAACTCTAGCACTGAGGAGCATGACAAGAGGATCCTGGGACCTTGCTGCCTAGTCAGCCTAGCCTTTTATTTTGTTTTGTTTTTTGAGACAGGGTTTTTCTGTGACTTTGGAGGCTATCCTGGAACTAGCTCTTGTAGACCAGGCTGGTCTCAAACTCACAGAGATCGCCTGCCTCTGCCTCCCAAGTGCTGGGACTAAAGGCGTGCACCACCACTGCCCGGCTAGTCAGCCTAGCTTAAACAGCAATCTTCAGGTTTACAAAGCAATGCTGTCTCAAAAAATATGCTCAAAAGCAATGGAGGATGACTGTAGACATTCTCCTTTAATCTCCTCATGCATGTATCTGTACATGAATGCATGCAGATCTCACACACAAAACACAAACAAAATTTAATACAAGCCACATGAGGCATATGCCCATAATAATCCCAGCATTTGCCTATTATCTCAGCCTTTGGAAGGCTAAGCAGGAGAATTAGTGTTGGATTTGAGCATGACGCCATCACACACACACACACACACACACACACACACACACACACACACCGAAAGCATAGAAAAATAATCTTTGGACCACATTAAAATTTGGATTCAGATTCACTAGGTCTAGGACGGGAACACAAGTGCATGTCTAACAAGTTCTAAGGTAATGATAGCACATGCTGTGAAAATTAATTAGGATACCCTAGGCAAGGAATGGACAATCTAAGGAAGTCTCTCATTTGCTCATCTCTGTACTTAAAACCAGATTCAAATGAAGACTTCCCAGGTTAAAAGAGGTATTGTACTTTAGTTCTTTCAAGACACTGAATGTAAAGCTAAGAGACTACCTTAAATGACAATGTTCTTTTCTGACCTATACCTCTTGGGGAATCTTTAGAACTGGTTGGTCTCTTACAGAGCACATCTTCAATTTCATGTCAGATCATTTATTGCTGCTAGAAAAGTCCCTGGAAGCAACACTATACCTTCCTCTGTGACCCTGCAATTTTTGCCCTGTGCCCTATCCCCAATGTTCTTCCTCTGAGAGGAAATGACAGCTGATTGGTCCAGAAAGAGCTTTGTTTTGCTGACATGGGTAATGTGATGCCGAGATTGCTTGCCTGAAAGAAGAGCAACCAAACAAAACATTTTAGGCTTCTCATGCCATATGTTCAGCATTTCAAATCTCCATTATTTAAATGAAGTTAAGCAAAAACCTCTAGTTGACACTAGTTAACAATGGCAATTATTCCAGCATACTAATTTGTTTATTTCCTGTGAAATGAGTGTGCTACCAACACAACAGAAGGGCAGATCAGGTGAAAGTGAAATCAAAAGCTCCCATACCATTGCTCATCTGTGAGAAGGGAAGCTTCTCATGCATCCTCTCATGGTTTGTGGGAAAGGCAGACAGCTCTCTCTCTGTTGATGGTATCAGACTTTCCAGAGTAGCAGCATCTTGGGGAGGATGTGACAAAAATGTCTCTTTGGGCATCTGAACCATGAGGCTGGACAGGGTCTGGTCTAAAACATCCTCCTCAGCAATATAGGTGTATGGACAGTATTCTCGGGTCCTTGAGTAGATGTTGGCATTGTCATAACAATCTGAACAGATCACCCGGGTACCAGTGCCACCTAATAACAACATGGAAAAGAATCCAAATGCTTTTCTGTTAAGGCATAGTTTTGTCATAATCAACTTTCTTTAACAGTTGTAGCATTTACTGCACACATACTTTATAAACGAGGTGAAATTTCAAGGTCTTTATGAGAATTATCTCATGTTTTCCTCACAACATCCCCACAGAGCAGATACAATTCTCATCTCCATTTTATAAAGTTATAACAGAAGGAAGAGCTAAAACTATACCTTCCTCTGTGTAAACCTAGGCACTCTGGCTTCAGAGCCCATGCTTTTGAATTCTCACGTTAAATCTTGCCTAGCCTGTAGAGTCTAAACTCCATCCACTGGATCCAAGACAGGCCTGGACCCCTGCTCTGAGATACAGCTTGGCTTGAGCAAACTAAAGCAAATAAGGTGTTACCATGACATGAGAACCCATGTTACTTTTATGAGTCAAGAAGTTAAGCAGCAGTAGCTCCTCCACTATCCCTAGTAAACCCACCCTCCTGTGTCTTGTCTCTTCCTACAGAAGTGAGGGTGTGATGAGGAAGCAAGAGGAGGTTCTAGTCACTTTACTAGGGACTGAAGTCTCCATTATAGGCTGAAAGTCATTTTTCCCTTTAAACTTTACTAAGTATCTACCTGTCAGCAGAACCAAATGTCCTTTGGATGTTATCTGAAGGATGCCCATCTCTAAAAGGGTAAGAAACACTTGAAAGGAGTTTCTAGAAAACCTCTTGTATTGACAGAGACCCAGGAGCCTCAGCTGTGTCCTTCAGTTCCTGTTTAAGGGTAATGTGTTTCTTTTGTAAGATGGCCTTCTTCTCTTGTTAAGACTTTACAGTCAATTTTCATTCAATTTTGCATGTAGTTAAATGTTCTAAGTGTTTTATCTTAAGATATTGCTTCAGGCTCATGGGAAAACTATACACTGAACAATAAACCCACCAGAACAGACTGAAATTGTAACTATGAACAGCAAAGTGCCTACCTTCGGTGCCTTTGTGTATGTATCCGTTGGCAGGAGGCATAAGTTGCTGATGACTGCCTGCCTCAGAGTTACTGTAGCCTTCCTGTGGTTCAGACAGTGTTCCTTGGGAAGACAAATAGCTGGGAATGTCTGCAGGCAAATTAAGTTCCTCTGTAAAGAGACATCTGTAACTCTCAAACTCAGGCAGTTAAAGTCAACACTCAGAAGGCAACTTTGTAAGTGTTCCACTTTGACACTGGCCTGGAGAACAGTATGCACTTGGGACCCTAACAGCTCTTCATCCTTCCCTAACATTCTTCTCAGAGTCTCATTTTACAAGTGTGACTTGGTTTGTAGGTGCAGTATAAAGTGCTTGCCTAACATGTACAGGCTGTGAGTTCACTCCCAGAACTACCATCAGAGGGCTGGGGGTGAGGGGTTACCAAAAGAAAAAAAAAAAAAAAAAAAAAAAAAAATTTTTACCTATAGCTACACTTCCACCATCTCTCTACCTGGACCCCCTCTCTTACAGATCCTGGGGTAGTGGGGTAAAAAACCTACTCACTCACAAGGGGTCAACTCTCCCCTAAAACAGAATATGGTGGAAATGAACCTTACATGCTAAGGAAAGAAAGCAAAAACAAAACAAAACAAAATATAACTCAGCTAGGCATGCTTCACCACACCTGTAATCCCAGCACACTGGAGGTAGAGGCAAAGGATCACTGCAAACTCAAGGCCAGTTTGTGAGTTCTAGGCCAGCCAGGGCCATACACTGAGATCCTCTTAAAAGAAAAAGAACAAACTGGGCTTGATGGCACATGCCTTTAATCCCAGCACTCTGGAGGCAGAGGCTGGCAGATAGATGTCCAAGTTTAAGGCCAGCCTGGTCTAGAGAACAAGTGCTGATAGCCAGGGGTACACAAAGATCAAGAACAAGAAAATATATCTGTAATACAATTCTAAGAGCTAAATTTGGGGGGGGAAATATATATATATATATATATATATATATATATATATATATGGAATTTCTAAAACTATTTCCCCACATAGGTTGTTATCTCAAAGAAACTGGGTATTTTATCAGAAAAACTTCTTTATACCTCTTATCAAGTAATCAATCACAGTACTCCAGCTTTTTAACTTTTACTAAATCCTACATTCCTAAGAATACGCATGTGTCATCTGGGTACCACTTACCTGTATTTGTGATACTGTAGTCTTCATTCTTCCTTCTCATGTGGTAAATAACAATGACCCAGATCAAAGAAGTACCCACGACACAGCAAACCACAACAATGATAACAATGCCAACTGTGGTCCAACCATCATCCTCATGTCCAATGCTATTCTGAGAAGAGTCACAATTGGGGGATGAAATGACATTTAAGTAAATATGTCCCCGTTCTGTCCCAAGAGTATTAGACATAATGCAAGTATATTTTCCAGCATCTTCTAGCCCAGCATCTACAATGATGAGAAGCTGATTAGCTGCAGCAAAGAAGTGTCGTTCTGTTACTAAGAGTGGTCCATCATCTTTGGTCCAATTGAGGCGAGGAGCAGGACTCCCTCCAGCTATGCACTGCAATACTGCCGTTTCACCTCGGGTGACAGTCTTGTCCTCAAGAGGTCTAATGAATGAGGGTGTCTCTAATAGGAAGTGAAAAATACTAAGTTAGGAAAATGATACTCTAAATTGTATAGAACTAAGACTATTAAGAGTATGATGAAATGTGAACTTTCATGAAGATTTAACAGTTAATGTTTCAGAAACACAAAAGCCTCAAAAAAGAAAAGGAAATCTAAATATGAACTGGTGACTGTAAACCCATCTATTCTACTCAGGAGGTCAGAGTAAAAAGATTGCAAGTTAACATCCATCTCAGCAACTTAACAAGATGTATCTCAAAAAGAAATTGAAGCAGGGCTGGGATACTAACTAGCTCAGTACAGCACTGGGCTGACACTCACAAGCCAGGGCTACTAGTCATTAATACTGGGGATTTCTACTGTTTTTGAGGCAGGTTCAACTATATAAGCTGACCTAGAATTCTTGATCCTTCTGCCTCAGCCTCTAAGTTAACACACTTCTTTTAAAGGTTTTTGACAATCAGATCAGAGTGGCTCACCTGTAACACATAGTGAGTTCTCTGGGGTTATTTATAGAGGGAGGAGAAGACAACCCCATAAAACTCTAATATCTAAGAAAACAGAGAACTGAACTCCAGTATAATTTGTCTTGGATTTGGGTTACATAAAAAACATGTTTTAGCCAGGTGGTAGTAGCACACACCATTAATCCCAGCACCCATGAGGTAGAAGGAGGCAGATCTCTGTGAGTTCTGGACCAGCCTGGTCTACAGAGAATGTTCCAGGACAGCCAAGGCTACACAAAGAAACTCTGTCTCAAAAAACAAAAACAAACAAAGCAAAACACGCCCCCCCCCAAAAAAGAAAAAGAACAAAAAAGTAAAAGAATCACAACAAAACCTCCAAATTGTTTTTCTTGCTTTTCAAGGCCATGCCTAGCTCTCAGAGGCTCCAGTAAAGCAGCAGTCTTAACAAAGTAAGCATACCTAACACAGTGAGTGAGGCATTTGCTGAGAGGCCTCCTGCTATATTCTGTGCCATGCAGCTATAGATTCCCATGTCTTCTATCTTCACATTGGCAATGAAGAAGACATCATCCTCAGGCATGACGTGCATTCGTCTTTCTCGGGCTGCAGGAAAATCAGTGCCACCGTCTTTCTGCCAGGAAATCTGAGGTGCAGGGTGCCCCTCTGCAGCACATTCTAATCTGGCCATGGCGCCAGTGCGAATAGTTAGATCCATTGGAGTCTTCAGAAAAGATGGCATCTCTATTCAAAAAAATTACAGAAAAAGTAGACAAAAGGAAAACATGCAGAAGCACACAAATCTAATAACCTAACAGACAAAATTCTAATATAAAGTAATGCACCATTTCTTTGAGAAAACATATTCTCTGGACTGACGATGAAGCCAGCCAGCTTTTGAAAGCTTATGTCTCACCAGCACATGTGGAGCATAGTAGCATAGTACTTCTAGACTATACACCATGACTCCATGACTATCTGACCATATTATAGGAGGAACGAAATTAGAAAGCCAAAATCTTTCCTGAAAGCCAGTTTAAAACTTGATATTTAATAGTACTCTTTCATTTAGAAAGTTAAATGAGCCTTCCTAATCTAACATCAACAGGTGTCGAGAGAACCATGGGATTTTTTTGTTCATTTGAATTATGCTTTTAAAAACTTCTTTTATGAAACACGGGAGTGGGGTACAGAGCTGGAGAGTTGTCTCGGTAGTTAAGAGTACTTATTGCTCTTGCAGGACTCAGGTTCAATTCCCAGACCCACATGGCAGCTCACAACTGTCTGTTACTCCAATGCTCTCTTTCAGGCCTTCATGGCCACCAGGCATGCATGTGGTATGGACATACATGAAGGCAAACCACTCATACACATAAAATAATAAAATAAAATCTTTTTTAAACACTAGAAATTTAAAAAAAGGAAACAGGAGCAGGGCACAAGTACATCTTTTGGTTGCGCACAGCCTAAAACTCAATCTCACAGACAATAAACCAAGCTACTGTGGAAAACTTTTTAGTAACCACTAGGAGAGTTTTATTTTTAAAATGATTGTGGCCATATCCAGAGAACTATAGAGACCACTGGACCTGGAGATGTCCTAAACATGGTGAATTTATTAGAAAAAATTCATAGTTTTCAGAAAATTGTGATTTTGTAAAGAAAATTAAGACTGTCAAAAGAATGTCTTCAGGCTGGGCGTTGGTGGTGCTTGCCTTTAATCCCAGCACTCGGGAGGCAGAGGCAGGCAGATCTCTGTGAGTTCGAGGCCAGCCTGGTCTCCAGAGTGAGTGCCAGGATAGGCTCCAAAGCTACACAGAGAAACCCTGTCTCGGAAAACAAAAAAACAACAAAAAAGAATGTCTTCAGAAGAAACAGAAATGGAAGTAAGCATCTCCTAGGGCAAAGAATGTAGGACAGTGTATCAGAGACAGACATTGGGGTTCAAGCTTCAAGCTGAAGATGAGAAAAGCAAAGCAGCCAGCCACTAGCTCTTACCTCTACCTCAGACTGAAGGGGGTACTGTGTCCCTCTGATTGCATCTCCAAACTGCACTGCTCTCCACCAAGTCTCAGACTGCAATCCCAGACTGCTATGCTCTCCTCAATGTGGCTGAAGATTAATTCTCTCATGAGACCCTTTGCTTCTTCCTTTTATACATCTCAAATCCTGGAATTAAAGGCATGGGATCCCAAGTGCTGAGATCTCCCTTGTGTGAACTGTTGCTCTTTAGGACTAGATCAATTTCAAGTAGCTCAGTGTGGCCTTGGAATAACAGAGATCTATCTGCCTGTTTTCTGAGTCCTGGGATTAAAGGTGTGTGCCACCACCAACTAGCTACATGGCTAGCTAGTATAGCTGTTGGGATTAAAAGTTTGTATCACCACTGCCTGACCTCTATGGCTTGTGGCTAGCTTTGCATTCTGAACCCTCAGGTAGGCCTTATTAAATCATAAATAATATATCACCACAGGATAGTTAAGTATATGGGTAATCCAAAAGTCTACCCCTTCCATATGCCACAATCAAGAGAAAATAACACCAAGAGCTCCCTTCAAATATGGAGCATGACCTAATTTTCTTGATCAAGTGACTTATAATTTAGATATAGAAAGTTTTTTAAAGTACTTTTGCCCATCAGGATGTCCTAATAAGCATGGCATATATCATGGCATATATTCTAGAAATATATATATTTCAAGCACAATTCCTTACCATTCACAGTCAGTTTGGCTTTCTGTGAATAATTAGAGCCAAAATGATTAGTAACAATACACTGGTATTTCCCTTCATCTGTGAAGTTCACACTGAAGAGGTGCAAGACACTAGTATATTCCAGCGCTTCTCCAGCCTGCTGGCGATAACGAACAAAATTCTCAACATCCACATCATACAGGATTTCACTGTCCTTGCGCCATACAGTGGACATGGGTGAATCACTGCTGCTCACTGCAGTGCATGTCAGAGTCACGTTAACACCTCTTAAAGCAACTGTGCTTTCAGGATGTGTCCTTATTTGAGGCTTCAGAAAATCATCTAAAGGGAATAAATGCAACAGTGGCCAAGTCAGTTACTTATTTTTACTTTAGATTCAATTTAAAACAAATACTGTAAAACTATAAGCTTCATTCACACAGGTTAAGTTGAAGGAGACTATAAAGAGGTTTTTTTTTGGTTTTTTGTTTTTTTGTTTTTTTCTTTGTTTTGCTTTCAATAATTTATTTTATTTGCACTGGCGTTTTGCCTGCATGTATGTCTGTATGAAGGTGTCAGATCTTGGAGTTACAGCCAGTTGTTAGTTGCCATGTGGGTGATGGGAATCAAACCCGGGTTCTCTGGAAAGAGCAGTCAGTTCTCTTAACTGCTCAGCCATCTCTCCAGCCCCATCTAATCCCTGGCTTAAAGGTAAGGAAAATGAACTCTAGTTAAACAGTTTTGCTCAAAGACATTAGGCAGAGAGAAGGTGGACTGGAACTCAGGTTCTGGATGTCAGCACACAGTACTCTTTTTACCATCCCTCAGGCTCTTAGGTGCTTACATGTATTTCCTAAGCATTACCAATGGGTGGAGATAGAGGAGGAGAGAAACCTTACATAAGAATTTCAAGGTAAGTTCTATCCTACCATACCATGTATATACACACACATAATGATATGTATATCCCATATATAATGATACATATACAAAATGCTTATAATAACCATTATCCTTTCTGTATAATACAGAAAATGGGAATATAAACTTACTCTTTTTTCATGGAAACTATTAATAAATACATGATTTGAGATTACTTTGTATATAGCTGCAACATTAAAATGGTGAAGAATTCAAACAAGATAAATGCACAAGTGAAAACTGGTTTAGGACTGGCAAGAGCGCCACGGATTCATAAATAACAACACTATGGATTCAGAGAAGCTGTTAGAGAAATCCTGAACCAGTATCTTTACTAAGTAACATTCATTGTGCCTTAAAAGGTATAACTGGAATCCTATAAAACATATAGTATGAAGCAGAGTGGTGGCATACACCATTAATCTCAGCACTTAGCAAGCAGAGGCAGGCAGATGTCTGAGTTCCAGTCCAACGAAGAAGTTATGTAAAGGGGCTTGAGAGCAGTTAAGAGCACTAGGTGTTCTTACAAAGTACCCAGGTTCAGTTCCCAGCACATAGCGCACAAACATGTATCAGGCAAAACACCTATACACATAAAATAAAGACAGATTAATCTTTAAAAAAATAAAAGAAAGAAAAGAAATTGCATTTGGGCCAATGAAATGGCTCAGTGGTGTTAAAGAGTTTGCCATCAAGCCTAATGACATAAACTTGCTCCCTGAACACCCCCAAGGTGGAAAGAGAGAACTGACTTTCTTAAGTTGTTTGTACTTTCACTAAGAAACTGCACCCAAAAACTGACATTGATGATTACAAACACATACTGTTATACACTTAAAATTATAACATTGCTGATGGCCACATAAACTAATGCCTTTTCAAAATTTTTCTTGGTGGTTCTTTCAAATTCTACTAAAAGTCTTCACATGAAAAAAATACTTATTGATTCAGAATCCTGCTGTATCCTAAAGTTAATAATCCCCTTCAAGTTAAAGCCAACATTCACATTACCACTTAAAGCCGTTGAAAAGGCAGCACTGAGAGGGTCCTTGAGTTAATACAAACAAGAACAGTAAGGAAAACAACTGTTTGTGAAATACTAAGTCAAAGAACACAAAATGCAGCCTGGATTTGCAAAAGTAATCAATGAAACATGGTTTGGAGAACACCACCACAAGGTCATAAGATGGGCTGTCAAAAGCCATTTGGGGTGGGGTTTTGTTTGTTTGTTTGCTTTGGTTCATCTTCTTTATTTTATTGTTACAACAGTTAACAGAAGTTGTAAAATTTTAAAACAAAAATACGAACCACAGACAAAATCTTTCAGGTCCACATTCAGGATGCTTTGCCCCGCTAACCATTCAGGATGTGCACAGCTTACATTCACAGAGTGATGAAAGTTGTTATCCACCAGCCACTGAAGTAGCCACTTCAAATGACAATCGCAGAGCAAACTGCTTGTATTCAGAACACTGCAGAAAGAAAGGAAGAGTACCTTTCATTTTAGCTTTAGTTTCTTCAGCATAACTTTGCTACACATTAATGCATTTGTTTGTCAAAAAAGTTCATCCAAGTGTAGGAAAACAAATTTAGACAGCCTGAATAATATGACAGTGTTATGAAAAACATCAAAAAAGACTGAAGGACAACAGAACCATTTTAAAGACAAGTAAAGAGCCATTGCAATGGAATGAAATGCATATATGCATGCATGTTTGCTTGTTCTGAGACAGAGTCACTATACTACCCAGGCTGGCCTCAAACTTACAATCTCAGATATATACCATGACACCCACCGACACACGATTCTTGTTTAGGGGTGGGAGTTCTAAACAGGGAGGGATATGCATGTGTATATACTATATGTGTGTGTGTATACATATGTGTGTTTTGTTTGTTTGAGACAGGGACTCATATATTCCAGGTTAGCTTTTAGCTCACTGTGTAGTCAAGGATGACCTTGAACTTCTAGTCTTTGTTCTTCCACCTCCCAAATGCTGGGATTACAGGTGGGTGTGCAACACCACATCTGGTTTAATGAGGTGCTGGGGATGCCAGGGAAGCACTTTACCTACTAAGCTGCATCGCCAGCCAGGGTGATATTTCTGATATTGAGAAAATTTGAAGATGAGCAATCTACTAAATATTAAAATTTGTAAATGTTAATTTCATTGAGTATGAAAATGATACTGTAGCTATGTAAAAAATGTCCGTTTTTTTAGGAAATACGTGCCAAGCTATTTAGGAGTGAAGTATCATGATGTCTATACTTTTTATTTTAATGTATATGTATATGTACCGAGTGTGGGCCTAATGCCTGAGCAGGTTTGAAGAGGGTATCACATCCCCTGCACTGGAGAAAACAGGTGGTTGTGAGCTATCATGTGAGTGAGGAGAACCAAACCTGGGTTCTCTGCAAAACAAGTGCTCTTAACCAGTGAGCCAACTCTGCCCCTTACTGTCTTTCTACAACTTTTAAACGGCCTGAAAACAATAAAAGACTTTTACACCTACAGTGTATACACAAAAACTATGTATGTGTAGAGAGTGCAATAGTGAGTGAGAAAAGAAAGAGAAGGCTAATAACTGGTACATCCACGTGAAAGGCACGTGGATAGTCATGTACCATCATTATATTCCTGAGGCTTAAAATCTTGAATCATGGGCAAAGGTTAATCACAGATTTTGAAGCACTGAAGAGTTTTATTGTGGTAAGAATATTGTTATTTTCAAATTATTTCATCAACACTGAAAGCACTTCAGCCCTCTGGCAATGTAATACTTTGACTTAGAGTAAGAGCCACTTAAAAATAAATGTGGTCTATAAAATAGATCCCTTTGAAGAATCAGTGTTTTCTCTCCATGATCTTTTGGCAGAGAAAGCAAACAATTTGGGGAACACTACACCTTATTCTTTGTGTATGACTGAAATATTCTGTTCTTAACTTGGTGGAAGTGGGGGGTCATGCCAGAGTGCATGTGTGGAGGTTCTCTCCTTCCACTGATCTAGGAATCCAACTCAGGTCATCTGCCTGGGAGCCTAGAAAGTGCTTTCACCTCTTAAACCACCTACCCAGCTCTTAAAACATTTTTAAGTCTGTACTTACTAAGATTTTTATGCTTTTTGGCATTCCTCCTCATTCTTTACATAAGTATTTTGAGGCTCGTGAGAGCATTACATATAAATTAAAAGATTTTTCATTAATATTTTATTATGTAGTACTCATACACTTTTGGGAAACTGTGTGCGTGTGTGAGTGCGTGCGTGCGTGCGTGCGTGCGTGCGTGCGTGCGTGTGTGTACTGTTAGGCTCTTGTAGGCAAAGTTGGTGTGTGAGGAGTAGAAAGCAAAAGAAACAGAAGTGAAAGAAACTTCTATGAAGTTGGGCAAAGTGGCACGTGCCTTTAATCCCAGGCTGAGGCAGGAGGATCTCCTTGAGTTCAAAGCCAGTCTGGTCTACAGAGAGAATTCCAGGACAACCAGGGTTACACAGAGAAACCCTGTCTCAAAAAAACAAAAGCTACGAAGATTCTTAGACGCTTATCTCAAAGCACCTTCAGAGTTAAGATGAATCTTTGCAACTGTCAATTTTCCCCAGTTTACACCCAGCAACATGCAAGAAGGTAGGCTATATAAGATTGATGATTACAGCTACTAAAAACTTTGGCAAAAGGCTGTTTTATTATGTACCAAGTCATAATGATGGAGAAAAATGGAAACATCATCTCAGAAAGCTGGAGAGAGGTACAAGAGCAAACTAGAGGACTAAGAACTCAGTAAAGACCGACAAAATGTGTACTACAGAAACCACAAAGGGCACACACTATAACTTTCCAAGAAACAATTCTCTCTCTACAACCACTCCTTCCCCTTTACTCTTGTTTAAAAATTAAGTCGGGTCCCATTAGCTTTATTTATTTATAGTGCAGTGAGAATAGTGCTTGGCCACAGAGGCCTTCTGAAATTTGCTTTGCTGGAACTTTTCAAAGTCTCTTAGCAGGCTAGGAAGCCAAGCCAGGAACTGACCACCAGACATAACTGCTAGTATTTACTTTCAGGGAATCCTTCTGTCCTAGAGGCTCTCAAAATACTCAGAAGTTTGTGGGACAGCCAGATCGTGCTTACTTATAAGGAAAAACTTTTAAGTTTTTTAGGAGCTTTATAAATATCGATGCCTTAAGGTTAACCTGAGTTCCTCAAAACTCTCTAGTCATACTTGACTTTATATACCATTCAAATATGACATTCCAGTCAAACTCTCCAACTGTGTACTGTTAAAGGGGAATATATTCCAATTCACTTTACATAAGAACTGTAGTACTAAGAAAATAATGATGCCCACTAAGTTTCTGAATTCTAGAGAGCGCAGATAAGAGAAAAAGCTCTCTCTCGCTCTCTCTCTCTCTCTCTCTCTCTCTCTCTCTCTCTCTCTCTCACACACACGCACACACATACACACACCCACACACACACAGCCAAAGATATATTTTGCTAACTTGCTCCAAGTCACAGGAAGCTTAAGAAAAATCCTTAAATCTGGAAAGAGAACATTAAAGAACTTTACTGGTTCAGTCGTCGTCGTCGTCGTCATCATCGTCGTCATCGTCGTCATCATCACCATCATCACTATTATTGAGGCATGGTCTTAAGGCCCTGATCAGTCTAGAATTCACTCTGTAAACCAGGCTGGCCTGGAAATCACAGAGATCCAACTGCCCCCACCTGAGTTCTGGGATTAAAGACATGTACCACTAAGTTCAAGCCCCATAATTAATTCTTTTTTTTAAATGTTTTATTTTTTATGTGTTTGGGTATTTTGTCTGTATATATATGCCTCTGTATCAAATACATGCCTGGTACCCTCAGAGGTCAAAAAAGGGCATGCAATCCCCTAGGACTAGAGTTACAGACAGCTGCGAACTGCCATATAGGTGCTAGAAATTGAAGGAGAGTCCTTTGGAAGGGCAGCCAATGTTCGTAACCATTGAGCCATCTCTCTAGCCCCATAAGTAATTCTTGCTTTATCTCTGGATAATGATTTCATAATTCCTTCATCAGAATTCTACAAGTTCTGAATGCAGCGGTATGATTACCAGTGTTGTCATCATAAATTATCAGAAACCTGTACTTGTCTGAATCCTCTCCATGAACCTTTGTCATCAATGAAATTATATTTTACTCTGATTTGTTTCTGAAAGTTTTTGCAAACAATATTAATACCAAAAAAAAATGCTTCTGTTTCAAAGAGGTTCATGGGAAGATGTGGTTAATGGTATGTTTATTAAGCAATTATTTCTGTGGCAAACAAAATATCAAAATTATGACTGCTAACATTACAACAGATAGCATGAACTATGAACAAATTTCTAAGAACTTGAAAAAAATTTCAAATGAAGTATTTATTTTAACCTACAGAATGTTTAGTATCACTTAATTGACATTTCCCAGATAACATATCAAATAAACCTAATTAGTTTAATGCTTCCTTTTTTAAGAAAAGAGATTTTTCAGGCAGAGTCAGGTGTTATAGCATATTCCTAAAGTCTCAACTACTTGGGAGAGAGGCAAAAGGAACTCTTGAACCTAGGAATTCAAAGCCAGCCAGGTCAACACAATGAGACTGAGGTGGTTTGAATAGGGGTAGCCTCCATAGACTCATGAGTTTGAAGGCTTGGCCCTTATGGAGTGGCACTATTAGGAGGTGTGGCCTTGTTGGAGGAAGTGTGCCACTGTGGAGGCCGGCTTTGAGGTCTTTATGTTCAAGTTGGGACTAGTGTCACAATCTCCTTCTGATGCCTGCAGATCACAATGTAGAACTCTCAGCTCCTTCCCAGAAGTATGTCTGCTTGCATGCTGCCATGTCCCACCATGATAGACTAAACCTCTGAAACTGTAAGCCAGCCCCAATTAAATGTTTTCCTTTATAAGAACTGTCATATCATAGTGTCTCTTCACAGCAACAGAAATCCTAAAACAGAGGCCCCCATATAAAAAGGGCTCAGAACATCAAAAGGTTGCTCTTGCTCATTCTTCCTTTTTGAGTGAACACTCACTTTTTCTGCCATCTGAGAATTTACACAACGTTAATGGTTGTTGGGGGATGGAGAAAAATGCTTCCAAACAACCCTAATGACACTCATTGGGTCATAAAAATAGATATGGAGCTACTTGGGAAGAGGATTAATGAAAGTGGTGAGGTATAAAAGGATAAAGAGGTTAGGAAATGATCAAATTATATTACATACATGTATGAAAATGCCATAATGAAGCCTACTAAGTATAATCAATATATGCTAATAAAAGTTTTTAAAAATTAAAAAAAATTATTTTGCCATGACATATAATCTAAGAGAGGTTACATGAAAACCTAGGAGCTGTCTGGGTATCACCAAAGTCCATCCAAGTATAGATAAAATAGTACTTCCATTCAGTATTTTTAGATTCACACAGCTATTTGGGAGTCTGGGAGTCC